CTAAACTGTTTGCACACACAGGCCTGTACACGAACATGCCTACTGCCTGCACTGACACATGTGCTCTCTGAAATCAAACTAGAGGAAACTGCAAATCATATACATTCACCTTCTCTAGTTAGACTTAATTACTCTGACTTTTCATCCAGCTATTGCAGGGACCTTTCCTATTCAGATCACCTAATGAAATAAATGTGAGTAGAGCAATGTGCAGGGGGCTGATCCTGCTCTGCCAGTCCATTAGGAGCTGAGGAACAAGGGAAGTGGATTAATCCATCTCCTTGCCGGGTGAAATGACTGGCCCCGAGGTGAAGAAGTGACCTCCAGAGGCTACACTTGTCCTGATTCTGCTGCCTGAGCATTAGACAACATCACGAAGATCTCACAGAGAGGGCTCACGAGTGGGATCGCCTGCACCAGACAGTCCTGGCAGACATCACTCCATGTGCTCCTCTACCACCTGGACCCTCACTGTATATACCGAGGGCATGAGAAAAGCCATAGGTGGGTGGGACACTCCAAGCACACTTGTTGGACAACTATTGTTTTGAAAGCCATGAAAAATATATAACCTTGGACCTTTACATTAAAAAAACACATATATATTTATTATATATTATATTCTGTTTTGTATTCTTAAATATATACTTGGGCCTTTAAATAAAAAAATATATATATAATTTTTTTTTTTTAGATATGACTCCTATAGAAACTATGCAAATTTAAACTGAAAAAGATACAAATACACGCACACAGAAACAGTGATATTCCTGTTCCCCATCTGTTTTTTTCCCAAATGTAGGACATACATATTTATATCTATCATGCACACTTACATATAAAACACGTACATACAATATAGATGAATATACGATAGATAGAGATATAATTTTTTTTTTAATTTAGACATCATGTCTCCGATAGACAGAAACTATGTAAATTTAAACTGAAAATGATAGTTACATCGATATACATAGTAACAGTGATATTCCTGTTCCCATGTGTTTTTTTCTCAAAAGTGTGAATAATATATATATATATATACATACATATATATATACACATATATATATACATATATACATATACATATATATATATACATACACACACACACACACACATATATACATACATATACATACATACACACACACACATAAATACACATATATACACATATATATATATATACACACACACACACACAATTTAACTTTCTTCATTTTTTTCCCCCTTAATTTTTCCCCGCAATAATTAAATGTATGCCAATTTCCAGCAATGTAGACTCTGCTGAGATCAGAGAAGCCTTGTAGCAGAATAGAAATAGAGAAGTGGATGTGAAGGGCTGAGGGGAAGGTCTCTGATGTACTAAACATACAAAGCATTGCTGTCATTTCCCTTCTTATTCTTTGTCACACTTGCACATCTCCCATTTTGCTGCATTATTTGCTCCTGGCCAGACCCGTCCTCGACATTTTTTTTTTTTTTGCTTCTTTCATTCAGCCAACGTCAATCTCAATGCCATCATGGCGATGCGGAGATCATGAATTCTACTTTTCCCTGAAATCTGCAATTCATCATAATCTCCAAATGCCGCTTAATTGTAGGCAGAATTTTAAAATTTAGTCCTGTTACATATAAAACTAGAAATATAGAATCACTCTTCAGACTCTTCTAGGTATAGTCACGTAATACAAAGCAATAAAAAACTACTTTCAATGTGTACATGTTTTATAATTAAACATTTTATTTAAAAATGTGAAAAACTTACATTAGTTTGGTACAATAAATACTTGGCAGTAAGTTTTTTTTTTTTCTTACATTACTTGTAAATAAGAACACTTAAGTACACAAAAAAAAACCTCCCAGCAGTCAATTATAATACAAAACACAGGTTAAAAAACTGCAAACTCTTCATCTGTCTCTGTGTAAACATGTAGATCATTCATGACAAAAAGCACTTGTTAATGGTGCACTAATGAAAGATATTGCTGAGATTCCTAGAGGAAGCCTACAGGTGACTCGCCAGCCCTGAGAAGCCCACAAATGGCTGTATAGAGGAGAGTCCATTGTAAGGACCATGCTACTGGTGGAGCTGATGGCAGGATAACCTTGGCCTGGTTTAAATAACAATACAGTACATGACAAATCGGTAGGATGGCTGATGCAGCCTTTCTTGGTTTAGCAAGGACATTAGACTGGAGCTACACAGGCAACTTCTGATCGCACCACTAACATCGCAAAAGAGCAATTGCCTGCTATATAGAACACAGGAGGGTTGCTTTACTACAGGCTGTACACATAGAAAAATGATATGAAATAAACTGGAGCTTTGTTTAATTTAAATACCCAAAGATGCAAGGGAAGTAAAAAAAAAAAATAGGATTTTGCTTGAATGTGAATACGGATAATTGATATAAAGTGGAAACTCACAATAATAATTTGCTCTTAAATATACAATTGAAAGCATTTATTATCTCTGCTGGACAAGTGCCACAAATATGGCTTTTGGGCTAACCAGAAATCTTGTTGGCTGATAACTTCCAGCACTCTCTGCCCCTGATATCATTATTGTTCCCTCTTATCTCCATGGACTACAGAACACCTCCCCTTGTTATGTAGCAGAAGAGGTGATGTTCTGTAGTCTTAACACACTCCCGATCACCCTAGGACATGAAGTATGTTAATGACAGAACTACCCGGTTTAAAATAAAGAAATATGTGAAAACACTAATGCAGCCACCACATCCAATGGTAAGGTGCAATAATAATTGTTTTGTTTTTGGGATTAAACACCGGGGGTTATTTACTAAAACTGAAGCCTACAAAATCTGGTGCAGCTCTGCACAGTAACCAATCAGCTTCTAGGTTTTATTTCCAAAGCACAAGCTGAAGTTAGAAGCTGATTGGCTACCACGAACAGATTCTGAGTACACCAGTTTTAGTAACTCTCCCCCTTGGATTCACGGTATTCACTAACATTCACTTTTCTAGGATGACAGCCTCTATTTATTAGAAAAAAAATGAATCTCAATGGGGGTAATAGCAAGAGGGCCATTTTCATTCACCTGATCATTGCAGACACTGGGGTTAATTCACTAAAGGCAAATAGGTCGTTCACTTTGCCAGGGAATTTTCCTTTACCTTTGTGAATGAGGCAACTTCCATCATCCAATCAAAAATAGTTTTTTTGGTTTTTTTTTTTTTTTCCCTTGCATGTATTTGGGTATTCTCTGCAAAGTGAATTTTCACCACATCACCTAAGCAAAATTGTCCCTGCAAAGTGAATTTTTGCTTAAGGAATGCGGTGAAAATCCACTTTGCAGAGAATACCCAATCACATGCAAGGGAAATAAAAGAAACTATTTTTGATTGGCTGATGGAATTTGCCTCATTCACAAAGCTAAAGGAAAATTCCTTTAGTGAGCCAACCCCAGCAGCTCAGTGCTCCAAACCATCGCAGATAGTTGTAGTATTTTTTCCCCCCCATCTTTTGAATGAGCACAAGCAATTAATTGGGCATAATCGCCTCCACATGATCATAAGACATTTTAATTACAGGAACATTTTTTTTTAACTTCACCAAGGAGACTGAGGGTCTGAACAAAACTTGGAATTAAAAAGAAATCTCACTACTGTGCAATCTGGATGTACAATCTCAATGAAATTGACTAAAACTATGTAATGTGAGGACAAATTGTACAGACTATTCGTTTTCTATTTAATCGCAAAGGCCCTTACATTATATAGCTGTTGGTAGATCTAAAGGAGATTGTACAATCCAGTTGTATATTGTATGGTCAGCAATTTTAAGGCTTTATTCGTATGTCAGTAAAAAAAATGCATTTACAAGTGTTTTTTGTATAGAAATGCATTTACAATCATTTTTTTTATTTAATGATTTTAACTCAGCTGCCTTGTTTTCAATGGAGACATTCACACAGGTGCATAAACATGCTCTGCGTTCAGATCTGTGTCACAAGAATCCATGTCTGAGGACATACACATGGGGGGCATCTACTAAAGCGGGAGAGTGCAAAATCTGGTGCAACTCTGCATACAGAAACCAATCAGCTTCTAATTTTTATTGTCAAAGCTTGATTAAAACACACTGGAGTTAGGCTGGCCATACAGTTTTTTGTCCAATTTCCTTTGGATTTACCTTCAACTACGTAGTGCAAGGGCCTGCCTAATTGGATACAATTCAAAGTGTTTAGGTTTGACCTCCTGTTATATGGTTTTTGGTAAATCTAAAGCAAAATTCTCAAGAAAATTGTATAATGTATGGCCAGCCTTAGGCTGGCCATACACTATACAATTATCTTTAGATTTACCTTCAACTATGTAGTGCAAGGGCCTGCCTAATTGGATACAATTGAAAGTGTTGTTCAGGTTTGTCCTATTATATGGTTTTTGGTCAATTTAAAGTAAAATTCTCAAGAAAATTGTATAGTTTAGGCTGGCTATACACTATACAATTTTCTATCCAATTTCCTTTATATTTCCCTTCTACTATGTAGTGCAATGACCTGCCTAATTGGATACAATTGAACGTGTTTAGGTTTGACCTTGCATTATATGGTTTTTGGTCAATTTAAAAGCAAAGTTCTCAAAACAAAAATTGTATAGTGTATGGCCAGCCTTAGAAGCTGATTGGCGACCATGCACAGCTGCACCAGTTTTAGTAAATCTGGCCCATATGTCAGATACAGGTATCAGAAAAAAAAGCACAATTTTTTGCAAGCATTTACGGATCATGGCGCAGGAACTTTTGTTGCAGAAAAATAAAACATTCTTAAGATCAGTAAAATGTGTACCCATGTGAATGTAAAAGATTGTACAATCCAGTGCATAGTGTATGGTCAGCAATTTTTTTTTTTTTTTGCTTTTTAGTCGCTCAATCAAAAAGTCGCCCATGTAGCTCTGGCCTAAAAAGGCAAAGAGAATGCATAACCCATAGAAAGCCTCCTACCTTCTCGGTAAAAGCCTGACTTTGATTAAGAGTTTGAGATCCTAGTGGCATAGGGTTCCCCATTGGTGAGCACAGTTCCGGGCTGCAGGGCCCCACCTAAAGCAGCAGGGGAGCCGGAGAAAGTCACCAGGGCCCTGGAGAGGACAGGAGGGGCCCCAGGGGCTTTGGAAGAGGTACACTGTCCAGGGCTGAGCTCCCCACCTATGATGCTGTCGATGGAGAAGGTGGATCTGGCGCTGCTCTTGGCAGTGTGGAGGGGCCCCTGGAGGGCCGGGTTGAGGTGCTGGGGGTAGAAGGTACAGGTCCTGGGCAGGTCGGCTGTTAGCAGGGCGGGGGGGGCTGCCATGGTGGGGGCACTGGCTGGCTGTCTGTGCTGGGATTGGAAGGCGATGAGGGCTGAGTGAGGGTGGAAGGGCTGGAGCTGGATTCCATAGCCGCAGTTGTAGGGTCCATAGCCGTAGGCGGCTGCAGGGAGGAAATGTCCGGGCTCCCTGAGTGTGAGCACCTCCGGGCTTTGCTGCCTCTTGAAGCGTTTCCTCCGGCGCAGGAAGCTGCCGTTGTCGAACATGTCGGCCGACTCGGGGTCCAGTGTCCAGTAGTTGCCCTTGCCCGGGTTGCCGGGCTCCCGGGGGATCTTGACGAAGCAGTCGTTGAGGGAGAGGTTGTGTCGGATGGAGTTCTGCCAGGCGGGGAACTTCTCGCGGTAGTAGGGGAAGCGCTGACTGATGAAGTCGCAGATCTCGCTGAGGGTCAGCCTCTTCTTGGGGCTCTGCAGGATGGCCATGGTGATTAAGGCGATGTAGGAGTAGGGGGGCTTCACCAGGGTGTTCTTACTGGCCGCCTTGTACGAGTCTTTGGTGGAGGAGCACTGGGGGGACCTGGCCATCAGCATGTCCTCTGCCACCACCACCTCCTCGTCGTCCTCCTCCGGGTACCCCCGGGGATCCTCATCCTCCCCCTCTCCGACCACATCGATGTCGGTCTCATCAGCCAAGGCAGAGGCATCGGACATCTCAGAGCTCAGAGTCATGGCTTGTAGAGCCGATCATAAGGCTGATGGGGCTGGGAGGAGAAGGCGCTCTCCTCTGCTCTGCCCTTCTGGCACAACTCTGACCTCGGACAGACCCCCACACCTGCATTCAGACATCGGGGGCGATCATTGGGAGATCACAGGGAGAGGAGCGATCACTGAAAGATCACAGGGAGAGGAGCGATCATTGAGAGCGGACGGTATTGGGAGCAGGCTGAGCCAAGCTCTGAGGATAGGCTGCCGCTCAGTCCAGAAGAGGGCGGCTCTCTGCGCTCCTTATAGCAAACAGGGCGAATCACATGGCTGGAGACGTCACTCCGGGCTAATAGTCATCGGGGCCAGCTGCCTCCAATATCCACCGGCACAGGACCGCATTGTACTCACTATAAGCACCATTCAGTGGGGGCTATTCACTAAAACTGGACAGTGCTAATTCAGGTGCAGCTCTGCATGGACACCTATCAGTTTCCAGGTTTTATTGTCAAAGCTTAATTGAACAAGCTGAAGTCAGAAGCTGATTGGCTACTATGCACAGCTGCACCAGATTCTAGATGCACCAGTTTTAGTAAATCTCCCATACTGCCTCCTGCATTGTATTATGGGCACCATTCACCCCTCCTGCATTGTACTTTGGGCACCATTCACCCCTTTGCATTGTACTTTGGGCACCATTCACCCCTCCTGCATTGTACTTTGGGCACCATTCACCCCTTTGCATTGTACTTTGGGCACCATTCACCGCCTCCTGCATTGTACTATGGGCACCTTTCACCGCCTCCTGCATGTACTATGGGCACCTTTCACCGCCTCCTGCATTGTATTATGGGCACCATTCACCAACTCCTGTATTGTACTATGGGCACCTTTCACTGCCTCCTGCATTGTACTATGGGCATCACTCACTGCCTCCTTCTTTGTATTAGGAGCACCATTCACCAGGTCCTGTATTGTCCTCAGTGTCTGCACATAATAAACCAGGACTCATAACAGCACTGCTCACTCATTTGTCCAAAGGGCTCACTATTCATGGGGTACACTCAGTCCTCACTATCCATGGGGTACACTCAGTCCTCACTATTCATGGGGTACACTCAGTCCTCACTATTCATGGGGTACACTCAGTCCTCACTATTCATAGGGCACACTCATTCCTCACTATTCATGGGGCACACTCACTGCTTATTATCCATGGGGCACACTCATTCCTCACTAATCTATACCTGGAGCACACTCATTGCCCTTTAACCTATCCATGAGGCAGACATACTGCTCACTAACCTATAAATTGGGTACATTTATTGCTCACTATCAATGGGGCACAGCCACTGCTCATTTCTCTATCCATGGGGCACACTCACTGCTCACTATCCATGGGCACACTCACCACTCATCATTCCTGGGGCACTATTACTTTTCATTTATTGGGCACAATCGCTGCAGGTCATTCACAGGGCACACTCACCACTCATCATTCCTGGGGCACACCCAGGGGTGGACTGACCATTTGGAAACTCAGGCACTGCCCAAGGGCCTGGGGTCAGTAGGGGGCCCCATGAGATGCCCCTGGTACCTTTTTCATAGGCTTTTTTGAGTTTGGGGAAGGACACAGGGGCCCCATTATCCCCTATTGCCCGGGGCCCCATGAGTTGTCAGTCCGCCCCTGGGCACACCTAGCATTCACCATTAAGGGGCACACATATAGCACATCATTCATGGGGCACACTCATCACTCCTAGGGCACACCTACTGCCCATCATTTCTGGAGCACACTGACTGTTCACCATTCATGAGGCTCATTCAATGCACATCATTCACAGGGCACACTCACCACTTATCATTCCTGGGGCACATATATAACTAATTTTTCCTGGGCTACACTTCACATTCAAGGGGCACACTCACTATTCCTGGGCCAGACTCTTTGCGCCTCATTCAAGGGGCACACTCCCAGCTCACCAGTTTATCCACTGGGTACAGATACTGCTCACCATCCATGGGGTATGCTTACCTTTTTCGGTGTGCACTCACAGCTCACCATTCTAGAAGCACAGTCATCACTTGCATTTGTTGGAGCACACTTACCGCTCACCATCCATGGGGTACAATTCTTACTCAAAATCACTGTTCACAATTCCCAGGTCATGCTGAACACTCATTCATGGAGCATACTCACTGTACATCATCAATCACTGCTCACAATCCATGGGCCACACAATGCACTCACCATCTATGGGCCATACTCACACCTCACTATTCCTGAGGCACATTCATTGCACATATTCTTGGAGCATGTCGTTTATGGGGCACATTTAGTGTTCCCCATCCCTTGCGGGTAAATTCACTATTTTTTGTTCATGGGACAAGCACACTGCACGTATTATATTCATAGAAGGCACTTGCAGTTTACCATTAATTGTGCACACTTACAGCAGCTCATCATTCATTGGGCACACGTCCTGCTAAAGCACATACACCATTTATCAACAATGGAGCAGATTCACAGCTGTCCACTCATGGGGCACACTCACTACTGGTGTTCATGGGGCACACTCACTACTGGTGTTCATGGGGCACACTCACTACTGCTGTTCATGGGGCACACTCACTACTGGTGTTAATGGGGCACACACACTATTGGTGTTCATGGGGCACACTCACTACTGGTGTTCATGGGGCACACTCACTACTGGTGTTCATGGGGCACACTCACTACTGGTGTTCATGGGGCACACACACTATTGGTGTTCATGGGGCACACACACTATTGGTGTTCATGGGGCACACTCACTGCTGGTGTTCATGGGGCACACTCACTGCTGGTGTTCATGGGGCACACTCACTGGTGGTGTTCATGGGGCACACTCACTGCTGGTGTTCATGGGGCACAATACTTTTGTTCATGGGGCACACTCACTACTGGTATTCATGGGGCACACTGACTGCTGGTATTCATGGGGCACACTCACTGCTGGTATTAATGAGGCAAACTCACAGCTGGTATTCATGGGGCACACTCACTGCTGGTATTCATGAGGCACACTCATTACTGGTATTCATGGAGCACACTCACATCTGGTATTCATGGGGTACACTCACTGCTTGTATTCGTGGGGCACACTCACAGCTGGTATTCATGGGGCACACTGACTGCTGGTATTTATTGGGCACACTGACTGCTGGTATTTATGGGGCACACTCACTGCTGGTATTCATGAGGCAAACTCACAGCTGGTAATCATGGGGCACACTCACTATTAGTATTCATGGGGCACACTCACTGCTGGTATTCATGGGGCACACTCAATACTGGTATTCATGGGGCACACTCACTGCTGGTATTCATGGTGGTATTCATGGGGCACACTCACATCTGGTATTCATGGGGTACACTCAGTGCTGGTATTCATGGGGCACACTCACATCTGGTATTCATGGGGTACACTCACTGCTGGTATTCTTGGGGCACACTCACAGCTGGTATTCATGGGGCACACTGACTGCTGGTATTTATTGGGCACACCGACTGCTGGTATTCATGAGGCAAACTCACAGCTGGTATTCATGGGGCACACTCTCAGCTGTCCATTCACGGGGCACACTCAATACTGGTATTCATGGGGCACACTCAATACTGGTATTCATGGGGCACACTCAATACTGGTATTCATGGGGCACACTCAATACTGGTATTCATGGGGCACACTCAGTACTGGTATTCATGGGGCACACTCGCTGCTGGTATTCATAAAGCACACTTACTGCCCATCAATCATGGACATACTCAATGCCTATTGTTCCTGTAACATAATAATTGCACGTTATCGAGCAGTGCACACACATTTTCCTTCGGACACAAAAACTAAACATTTGTCACGGGTGTGCACACATAAACGGAGACGCTGCTGTCAGTGCTGGATATGTCTTTAATTCCTGCTGTTAGTAAAGAATATATACAGTATGTTTACGTTGTAAGTAAATTCTATGTATACATATACAGTGCAAAAAAATATTTATTTTTACCCTCAAACCTGCATACTGGACATAAAACTGTTACACTAAATTTACCATAACCCCCCAACACGCAAAAAGTGTTTGCAATATATATATATATATATATATATATATATATATATATATATATATAAAAAATACTGGTGCATGGTGCGTAAACACCATATACACACACACATACATATACAAAATAGTATAAATATATATATATATATATATATATATACAAAATATGTAAAATATTATGTTATTAATTGTATAATAAATAATATGTTAAATAATGGTAAATGATCTATATATAATGTATATATAATGTTATATATAATGTATTTATATTTCTATGTTTATATATAATGTTAAATAATTTATATAAAGTATTTTTATGATGATGATGATTATTGTTGATGTTGTAATAATTATTATTACATTTCAAGTCAAACTGCCCAGTGTAGTAGTTGAAC